TTTTCGTGTTGCGAGTGCACAATATTGTTAGACATGTTGCACATAAAAATCTATTAGATTGCACAATAGCGATCAAAACCGTCCAAATTAAAATGTTCGATTAATTACAACTATCACCCATGAACTTAATTGTAATAAACTAAAATTTTTACAATTGCAACCAGGCCCCTATATGTTATCAAATTTTCAATACAACAACCCCAATACACAAGCATTTTTCGGCCGCCTCTGCCGTACAAGCCGCCGCCGCCGCTAGCTGGGAACCACCTGGCCGTCGAATGACACATCACCATCTCGCCGCGCCGGTGGTTACATCTGCGGCAGATTTTCAAAAATCACATCAACTACTCATTCTCCCGCGATTCCCAACGGACGTTCTCGAGTCGCGGCCACCCCGACGGCGACCGGTGGATCGACGACGGATTTCTCTGCCGGATACTATTGAGTGCGGGATACGACAGAGCTGTGCTGGGTTGTTGGGGACCTGACGACGAGACAACGTATGTGCTGGCGGCGACGACGGTGGAAATCCGGCATGATTTTTCCAGCGAGATGGTGCCATAGTAACAGTGAGATATAGAACGATGTGGTTGTGTCCGACGGAGGTCAGAGATGTCGAGGGGCGAGTTATCTGAGGGATCGGAGGTCAGGGATGTCCCGCTCCACGCCCGTACAGCTCGCATTGTCAAACTCGTCCAGATCCCATTCATTTCCTACGCTGCTCCCGTTCACCTGCACCCGAGCGCCCATACTAGCTCGTGACCGTACGCCTAAGCCCAGACACGCGCGCGAGCCGACAAATCCGGGCAGATCCGTGACCAGCGCCCAGAACCAACCCAGTTGAGCCTGAACAAAGTTGACCCTCTCCAGATACGACCGCATCAGTTCTGAACCGGGTTGTGCTGCTCCAAAGCCGACCCGCTTCGTTCAATCGAGCATTTTCTAGCGTTTTTTAGACTTTCGATTTTTGATTTGAGTCCTTCGATAGGAATAATGGCTAAACATATACTCCATGGCATTAGACATGAATTATGATGAATTATAAAAATGAGTTTGAGTATTTTTTAGCTAGATATGATTTTATATGAATTTATTGAGTTAAATGGAAAGAAATTCGTAATAAATTGTGAGCTGATTAGAAAATTATGATTCTAAGTTGATGAATCACGTTAAATGTCTTGAGAGTTAGGTGTGAATTTGGTATTTTTGGAGTTCGTGTGATTGGCGGACCGATTTTGTGATATTGGACCGTTAATGCTCGTTTTTAGTTGAATGAGTTAGGAGTTGAATTTGGATTTGATATTTTGAACATAAATCATGTATGTGCTGAGAAGGTTGTGTTTTAAATTTCTTGATTTTTGGTGGTCGTTTGATGTATATTAAAAATCGGGACTTTAGGTGTAATTTGCGATAGTTTTAGAAATTAGTCCAGTTGCGATTTAACTGCAGTTGTTGAATGTAAATTTCTTATAAATCACATAGATCTTAGGATTTAAATATCTTCTTTAAATGAGTTAGGTTTTTCGGGATCGAGAACCCTAGTTTTATCCGGTTTCGATAATCGGGTAAATTTTGATCCGAGTTTAACGCCTGAACCCTAATACCGCTTAAACAACTTTAGACATCCTAGGATTATAACAGAGTCCTTGAGTTTCGGGAAGTTGTTGGTCGGATGGTTAGTCGCCGACGGGACCATAACCGAGCCTAAGAAGGCTAACAAGGCCGTGTGCCTCGTAGCAATCGGAGTTATCCAACCGACGTGCATTAGCACATATCCTCAACGCGTATCGTCGCCCTGCACACGTGTCTCATTTTTTTCCGAACGTTGGAACCAAGCCACCGAGTGTGTGCCCATGCACCGAGTCCGACTGAGCCGCGCCCCTGCGCTCTGTTCAACTCCCGTGCGTCTGTCCGATCTGCCGTCAACGCTTTATTTTCCGTAGCCATGGTCCAAGCACACCCCTGCGTCAGTGACCGTGGCACCATTTAAATCCCGTGCGTCAGCAAAGCCGTGTCAGTCGTGCTCATGAGTGCCCCGAGTTGCTACGTCGAATTCGGACCACGGTTAAGTCGAGCTGCACATAGTGAAGCGAATGATCGGTCAGTTCCGAGTGAGCCGCCGGTCCAGTCCAGTCGAACTAGTCCGGGCAGTCCGGACGATTCGAAAAGAAAACCAGTTCAGCCGAATCAGTCTGGGCAGTCCGGACGGTTCGAGAAATTCCAGTCAGATTTAAGATCCAATTAGATTTAGGATCCAGTCAGATTTAAGACCCAGTCAGATTTAAGATTCAGTCAGATTATAGTTCCAGACTTAGAAATATTTCAAGAACGCTAGTATGCCTCGAAGACAATAAATTTTCAAAATTAGCTCGTAAATTCCTAAAATGAGTTTTAAATGAATTTAAAACTGAGTGAGCGAACCTAGTCAGATCTGATAATAAGATTCAAGTTTTTCAGTTCGAGCTAAGTAGTTAGAATATATGTTGTGCTTGTATGTTTTGTAGCTTGTGGGGAGTAGAGCCTCCGACAGTTGCAATCCATTCAGCACTTGCACTTCAGCATATCAGGTGGGGACCTGTACTGGGTACTACATTTTCTATAATCGCAATATCCTGGCTGAGGTATGTATGTAAGAGTTAGTTTGCCCGAATAGGGGCAATAACCTAGCGAATAGGTCTTTTCTAGCTAAGTGAACCGAACGCTAGTTAAGATGAGAAAAGACTCTAGTACAACTCTGAGTTAAGCTCTGAATATAGATGTGCATAAGCGTTAGTATTTGCCTAAGAATGAGCAATGACCTACAGATTAGGTCCTACATTTAGCTATCATCAAGTGTGAAGGTCAAGCGTCCTTCTCGTGAGTCGAGCAGCAGTTATAGACAGTCAGTCGAGTAGCAGTTATAGACAGTCAGTCTAGCAGCAGCTATAGACAGTCAGTCGAGTAACAGTTATAGACAGTCAATTGAGCAGCAGTTATAGTCAGTCAATCGAGCAGTAGTTATAGACAGTTAGTTAAGCGGTAGTTGTAGGTAGTTTACGCAGTTATCTGCCTTTGGCGATGTTTTATCATATCAGATGTATGTTTAGTTCGCGATGCTTTAGTATAATGTTTATCATCGTAACATTTCCACTAATCCTAGTAGATACTTGCATATATGCCAATGTCATGATATGTTATTATATTAGCTGTATAATCAGTGCCGGTTCCGGCAGAGCATCGTTGATTCATTTATGCTCACGCCTCCCCACTAACTATTTTTCAGGTGATGGTGTCGAGCGTGGAGCGTGAGCCGATGATGTGGTGGTGATCATAGCGAGGATATTTTTGAGTAAACATATCATGTATATTTGAACATGTTTGAATTATTATGTTTTGTTGATGCATGCTTACATTTGCTTCCGCACTCAGTATACAATATTCAGTATTCAGATTTCAGTTTATGCATGCTTATATCCTGAGATTTTCATGGCGCCTTAGTAGAGTAATGAATTATACTCGGTTGCATGCATAATAGTAAATGAGAATTCAGTTCAGTTGAGTAGCATCCCGCAGTCAGATAAAGTATTTCGAAAAAGTTGAATTGAGTTTTCGAAAATTTAATCAATGTTTTCAAAATTAATAGCGTGAAAAATTTACTATGATTTTAGAAAGTTTAGACGGAGTGTTACAGCAAGCATATGGCAATGAAAGAAATACACAGATTTTGAGATCTGATTTTTCTCCTCAATGAAGATATTTTCAACTTCTTTCAGCATGCGGTTTCCTTAAAAATCACACATGAAGCAAAAGCTATAAACTCTTCCAAATAATATGCATGGGTTTCACTAGTTTTATAATGCAACCATATTAAAACTTTCATCATGTTTTCTTCATGTAGTGATTAAAATATGAAATTAACAACAACATGATTGTATATATATAAATTGACTAATTGAGTGCTTAATTCTGCTGGTGCCACTGTGCACTTTGACCTCAGAACTGTCATATTGACCCCACAAATTCCAATTGTTTTAAGGAGAAAAATAGAGTTAATTAAAAAAAAAAAAAAAAAAGATATATCATCTCGTATTAATTTCTCAGATTTTCTATTGGTTAATTTAAATTTAGAAGATGTTAAAATATGTGAACAACTGACATTTTCATGTACCAGCACACACTTATGTACGGTTCGGAAAAATGGGATGTAGATGGAATTGCATTTCTCTTCGACGACAACAATTTGTGAAAAATACTTGATCATATTGTCTAATCCAAAATAAACCACACAAACATGGAGCTCCTTAACGTGTAAAAACTTGTGGGGGAAGCCCCTTTTTAGGACCCAAATAAGAAAATTAGTTAACTAATCTTAATTCATTATTCAAGGAATCATGTTCGCTGAGAATGCATCGAGAAGATTGATCCAGTTCGCCTCGTCCTCGTCATCTTCATCAACCCCACTTTGCTCCCACTGACTCTGCCCCGTTTTCTCTGTCTCATCGTTCCTTGCAAACCTTCCTCTGATTCTCGGCCGGCTGTCTGCCAGAGTCTTTCGGCACTCATACTGTTTTAAACGTACATTAAACGAAAAGAATAAGTAGTTTGTGGTGACGCATAAAATGTAGCTTTTAAAGATTAAGAATATATTACTGTTGTGGCTAAAATGTATTTGTAGTCCTTCCGGTCATAGCAATTTTAGACCCCAGTATTTCAATATTTTGCTACAATTTCAGTCTTTTGAGAATAAAAATTCAATAAAATTTTAAATTACAGGACTTAAATGGGTAATCGAAAATTTGAGAATTTTGGAATTTGTTGCGATTTCAGTTTTGAAAGGACTGAAATTGCTCCAAAATATTAAATCACAGTCCAAAAAGCAAAATGTTGGAACTTTGAGACTAAAATTGCTATGGTGTTAAACCAACAAGTCAAAAAAAATGCAATTTTGCCGTGTGTGGTCGGACATATTCACACTAAAAGCTTCAAATTAAACCTTGATCTTCTTGTTGAAATTCCTGAGATTCCTCTTGCTTCTGTATCTCTCGATTCTTTCCTTTTTCTCCTCCGGGCTGTATGGGCTGGCTCTGCTCATGCTCTCTATTATGCTGCTCTCGGTTGCTAAAGAGCTGTTGGACCGCTGTCCCAAGTTCATCCCCTGTTTCATTCCCATAACCCAAAATGAAGAAACACAAAAAAAGAAAAAACATATCTGTTTGCATGGTGGGAGATGTGGCTAATGATTGAAGCAAACAAGTAATAAGAAATGCACTACTAATTTAACCTGAAATATATCTCCGGGTTTACTGAAAGAGGTGGACTCATCGATGGTATGGGGGATGATGGTGGGGCTGTAACAGCTGGCCCTCGAGGTGGGGGACCCGCCATAGCTGCTGCAGCCGGAGCTCGTGTATAACGAGTCCGGGATTGCCAGTGGAGGAAGGATAAGCGGGAATTGGGCTTGGATTAATTCGGGGGAGTAGTTGTAGGGGAACAAGCTCTCATTGTTGTTGTTTTGTCCATACATTTTTTTTTTTATTTTTTTTATTTTTTGGGTTTAGACTTTAGAGAGGGAGAGTGAGTGGGGGAAGGGAGTATTTGGGATGAAATGGAATGGGCACATGGAGCAGTTTACTTAAAGAGAAGAGCGTGCGTGGAAAAGCTGGATGAATGACGTCATCTAGGGGTTGACTTGGGAATGTTTGATATTTGGGAGGGGCCAAGTTAAGATGATGAATTGGAAATTTGGAATGGCCCGCCTACCTCTCTTGATGTGCTCTTAATGGAGTTTCTTCTACCAAGATAAGGAAAATGACAATCTTTCTCATGCATGCCTTTGTCTTGGTTACTTTTTAGTGATTGTGCTTGATTATTTCCTATAAAAAAAAATTAAGTGATATCCTCTTGATTACCGAAAAAAATAAAAAAAAAATAAAAAGGCCTATTAACTCGTTTAAGTCATAATTATTAAATTAATAAGTACAGTCTTTATTCTAAGATTAATATTTTTCCCTTTAGTTAAAATTATATTTTCTAATCTTCTCCAATTAGTACGTAGCCCGTGCGATGCACGGGACAATAATTATAAATTGCATGATTAAAACAATGAAGAAATATTCATTAGTACCAAAATATTTTTCATACTACTAATTATTTTTTCTTTTATTTTATGATATATAATAATTTAATATATGATCTATATGTTTATTTCACTCGTTATAAAACATTTGTCATTATAGATCCTATTTATAATTAGGAACACTGAAAATTTAACATATTCAAATATTATCAATAAACAATACTCACAGAATACCTTGCTACAATATAATGTTTCGATTTCTAAATAAGTTAGACTAAAGTTAAAAAATTGTGTCAAATATTATAACCAACATTTAATTGAAAAAGGTTGTAATACATATTATTTTGAAGTTAACTATCTAACCTTCCGCCGCTCTAAAACCCTACCCCCAAATTATCTGCTTCCGCCGCTCGTCTTCTTCTCCCAGCTCCGGCATCCGCCTTCCTCGGCCAAATCGATGCTCTAACCGGTGGCCTCCCTCAGCGTCCCGTCCCTCTCTCTGATTGGTGCATCTCCAGTGGCTTGGTGGTTCTCTTCCCCGTCCGAGATGGTGGCTGCCCCGGTGATCTCTCCTGTTCCGTTCGCGACGGTGGCTGTTCCGGTGGTCTTCCCCACTTCATTCGTGTTGGTTGCTGCTGGATTTCGTTCGGACTTCCCTTCTCCAGGTAAGGTCGGGCGAGTTCTGGTCGCCGACTTCCCGGCTCTTCCCGGAAAGGCTCGGCTGCTGGTTGATGTATTTGGTTAGAGCAAGGGGCGAGGTTCCGGTAGCCGTGGCGTTCGCGTCGGGGAGGTCTGAGTGGGGGGCTGGCCTGCCCTTCTCTCTCCGGTTCTCCTCTGTTGGGTTCGGGGGAGCCAGCGCGGCTATACTCGGCTAGTGGTGTTAGGCGGGTGTGGCGGTGCTGGTCTCGGCTAGTGGTGTTAGCCGGTAGAGGAGTGGTGGCTTCCCACGGTGGGGGATGGATCCTTTTGGGGTTTGGTTCTGAGCTTGGTATCAGCTTCAGCTAGGCGGTTCGACAATTTCGGTTGCAGTTACTGGGCCTGGGATCACTCCCTGAAATCGATTGTTTTACTGCCGATTTGACTCGAATTTTCTGCCGCGGAAGGGCTTGTTTGTTCGTTGGTTGATTAGGTTTTTTTGTTTTCGGTTGTTTTGTTCTTTTGTGTTTGTTTTGTTTAGGGCTTGTGTCTTTTTAGTTTTCGTATGTTTTGAGTCTGTGGTTGTGATATTTTTGGTCTTGTTTTTTAGGTTTGGACTGTTGGTCCCGGTACTAATTCCCCTGTGGAGGGCGTTTCTATTCTCCTGTGGGGGAGCATTCGTAGTTGGTGTGTTGGTGTCTTTTAGTTGTGTGTTGTGTGTTTTCTTTTCTAGCGTGGCTAGCGAGGCTCTAGGCGGTTTCGATCCGTCCTACCAATTTCTAGTTCCTGGTTGTAATATTCAGCCAGGGACTGCTTTTTTGCACAGTTGTGCGTTTTGATCTATAAAATCCCTATCATTTCCAAAAAAAAAATATTATTTTGAAGTTAAAAACAATTATTAATTTTTAATTAAATCAATATTATTTTATTTTATTTTATTATTTGTAATGTTATAAAATTTTGTAATCTATTAATTTATATGAGATTTGTTATGATATTGTGAATCACAATATGATTTTTTAAAGAATTGATTTGGCCCATTCATTGATAAAATCAAAGGATATTTTTTAACTCTCCTTGAATACATGATTTTTGTTATATGACTCGTTACAGGATGAATTGAAAAAGAATTTATTGTAACATTGATTATATCAATCAGATTTTTACAATTGATTCCTAAATTTATTTGTACTTATATTTTGCAATGTTCTAATGCGTGTTTCGGTCTACACATGGTTGGATACTCAACAAAACAGGAGAACACACGATTTGTTATTAATGATAAAGATTTGTTTAATATTAAAGATAAATATTGGAATTCTTTTGATATTTTGAAAAATTGGGTTTATAATTTTTGAAAAAATTTAAAACGGTTGGGTTATTGATAAATCAAAGTATTCTAAACTAATCCTCTTGATTAAATGATCTTTTGAAGATACGATAAAAAATATTTTGATATATGGTTGGTTACCAAATGAATAAGAAATCATTGTGATTTGTTATTGATGTTGATAAATAAGATCCTACTGTAACATTGTGATAAATATTATAATAAAATTTTCATAATCGATTTTAATGTAGTTATTTACAATTTTATAGTGCATATTCAAACAATATATTTTAAGAATAAAATATATTTAATAGATGTTTTTAAAGACATGTTGTATGGTTGGTTACCGAAAGAATAAAAAATTATAGTGATTCGTAATTAATATAAATAATCAAATTTTTTATTGCGATGATTATCACAAAATAAAATTCAAAATTGATACCAATTTGTTTATATAAAAAAATCATGCTATTAATCGAATTGCACGATTTATAACAAAAAGGAATAATTTAATTTTATTTCTTAATAATTATTAAAATTATTTTACAATATTTTCTTTAATAGTAAGTCAAAATATTTCATTCCAAAGTCAAAAATACCATTTTAGATTATTTTATCAACTTCTTTCAATATATATAGATATAATGCTTTTGTAGAAATTAAGATTAGTTTAACAAAATTTGAGAAATAATCTAGTATTATTCACTCCGAAATGCAAATTGCAATCGTCGTAGCAATGGGTTCAAATTTTATAAAAGTTTGATAAGTATAGACCGTTAAGTTACCAATCGCAATCACCAAAACTTATTAGTTCAAATTTGATAAAAGTTCAAAATTTCTTTACTGATACAAATTTCTACACAACATAATTTTGTACTCCATATAATTCTCCTCACTGGGAACCCTAATTCTCCCCATTGGGAACCATGATTCACTTCTCTTCTTCCGATTATCTTGCATAAGATCTTCTCATTGTTGTGTTACTGTAATCGCAATTCTCAAATGACAACCCAGGGCACTAAGTCCTCGGCGATTGGCGAAGATTTGGAGCTTAAGTTACAGAAAATTTCGCTTTCAGAAGCAGAAAATTCCATTGTTGATATTGGGAACGACGACATTGAACTGAGCAAGGATGAGTGTCAGAGAAGCCTATTTGGAAAGATTATTGGAGATAAGAAAGCTAGCTTGTTCGGCCTGAGAAGAACAATGGCATTTATCTGGAAGATTCAACAAGCGGTCGAAATAAGGGAGATTAGCCCTAATTTTTTCCAGTTTATATTTGAGCAAATTGTTGATATGAAGAAGGTAGTCTCGGGCACCAATTGGATTTATGATAATCAGTATCTCATTCTTCATGAATGGTTTGCTGGGATAAATAGTGGGCATAAGTGCTTTGAAGAGCTACAATTATGGGTTCATGTTCATAAAATTCCTCTACATTGGCTCAGCACAGAAGTAGGATTGAAGATTGGCAAACTCTTCAAAAGATTTACAACTACTAATGTCCCAAAAGCAGGAGAATTTCGAGGTGACAGAACAATCAGACTTCTTGTTTATATCAACGTCAATGAGCCACTTTTGAGATGTGCCAATGTCAGGCTAGGAGAACAAACTATTCAGGTGAGCTTCAGATATGAGAAATTAGTTAGTTTATGTTTCTACTGTGGTATCCGTGACATATTGAACGAGATTGCAAGAAAAAGATTGATGACATTGCTAAGCACTCACTGAAAGAAGGAGAATATGGGGAATGGCTCAAAGTAGGGGGAGGTGTTCAGGCCTCACATTCAGCTCACCTCAGGCTCTATGGGATCTAAAAGTTCAGGCCCTCAAAATCATTCCACATCATTGCCTATCCATACTAGTCTTAACCACCCTCCTCAGAATAATTCTCCTCAAACTGCATCCGCATCAAGCCTAATAGAAGTTCATGTCCACTCTGTTTTAGATTCCCAGAGGGGAAAAGAACTACAAATCAACAGCTCTCCTGCTCAGCTCCTGACTACTCTTGGACCTGAGGCACAGAAAACTGACTCTCCACCTAGACAGACTGAACTCATGAATCGAGGAAGGGGCTGAACTACTCTCAAATCAAGACCTCAATGCTGAAAAAATCTTTGATACAGATTCTCCAGAAAACACCTCATCCTCAAAGCAACAAGGCAAAAAATGGAAGAGAAGAGCACACCCTTCTAAAAAGAGAGTGCAGAGCTCTCTCAGGAACATGGCTTGTCCTTCATCCACATTGACACTCAAGAGAGGAAGACCTGCTGATCAACCTCAAACCCATCAGAATGAGAGGCTCCCTTACAAAGCTGATTCAAGTAAGAAACCTAAACTAGCTCTTGAAAAGGTAGAGTTGGCCAACCTTAATGGGCCAACCAGAGATCAATGAGAGTTCTGGTGTGGAATTGTAGAGGTTTGGGTGGCCCCTCTACAATTCCCCAGCTCAAGGAGTCCATGAGGACCCATCACCCAGCATTTACTTTTTTATCTGAAACTAAAAAAAAATTGTCCTTTGTAAATCCTGTTTATCTTAGTCTAAAGTGTGAAGATAGATGGAAGGCTGTTGATCCCACTGGGCTGTCAGGAGGGTTATTACTAATCTGGAGTAAGGAAATCAATATATCTCAAATTATTTGTCACGATTTTTGTATGGAGATAGA